GCATCTACCCCCTCGTCAATTAACCTTCCAAATTCACACATCGAGACGATGCGTATTTCGGAGGGTGAGTAATGCCACAGAGATTGCTCCTACGAATCATTTTACGAAGAGAACCAACGGGACGCTATGTGGGCGCCTACAGTGCCTCGCAACCAATGAGATGCTATGTGGGCGTCTGCAGTGCCTTGCAACCAACGAGATGCTATGTGGGCGTCTACAGTGCCTCGCGCGTGCTCATGCATCTTGGTGTAGGGCAGTGCCCGTCTCTGGTGCACGAACAAGAGGCGGGAAGACAGACCTAGATGTTGATCAGAAAGGGACTTGTAGGCGGAACGCTTTTAGCAGATTCTTCTTTGTGTCATAGCTACTTTTTTGGGCACAAGTTCGCCCTCAATAAATCATTGTGTGTGTGTTCTCCCTCTTGTGTTATGTGACAATATAGTAAAGGTCAATGGAAAAGAAAGAAAATGAACATGCAGCCTGACTGCAGAGAGCGGTTCACGCTACAATTTTCTTGCGTCGTGATATCTCCTCAGACACAGTGATAACTTCGTCGACATTGACTTGTGTCCAGTGAATGGACATTAAGGCTAGACTGTTGAGCTGTTCCTCAGCTGTCTGGTTCCTCATACACTTTTTCACTCTTTTCAGCATCACTAGGAGCGTTGCCAATATCTTAAGGAGTGTGTGAACGTTCAGGAAGAGGGCTTTGTCGCGTCCATCCATAGCAGGGAAATTCGACCTCTTGCATGACTTGCCATTTAATTTTCCAGATTCCCATTGACCTTTTAGTGTAAGGATATGAGCTGTTGTCATATTACTTATGTAAAAATCGAAGGCATAGAGTTAATATACAGACTCTAGAGGAAATACTCCTCACAGGGCCGCCCATTCATCAAAACCTATAATCGCTCGGATGTCGCCGTGACGGATTCATACTCGGCTTTCGAGTGATGCCCACTCACACTCGCCACTCCATGTTGCAATAACCCTTGGCATTTTTATCTATTCTATGGATCTCTGTTGGATTGCAGTAAGAGACTGTCATATAATGTCGAGTTGTTGGCTCATGGCAACAAAAAACACGGACGACGAGGCACTGTATAGGACTCACCCGGCACGCAAGCAAACCGGCGCAATCAGCTGCATGCCACACCAGCACGCTCTCAATATTAAAAGGATGATGATACAATCTACTAAACAAATCTAGAAACGCTTTTTTCTACACATAGTAAACTGTATAAATGATCGTTGTATCTTTCTTAAAAGTAGTCGATATAAATGTCATACAATTTTCTTTTGTTTGTAATACGTGAACAGACTTGTTTACATATATTAATGCAACATTTTTAGTGTTTTTTAAGCAATTACCTTTAACAATTTTGTAAAGTATTGTGATGGCAACAATGAGAACATTTCAAGAATTCAGCGCTTTGGTGGCTATAGGTTTTTTGGCCCAGCTTTTTCTCTATAGAGTCAGTTTATTAATTTTATGATTGAAGGCCGGCTGCAAAGATTTAAATATGCCTTTGGAGGCCTGCTTTGGCAACACAATTGCAAATTTTGCAGCGTTTTGTGATGATTTGTAAAGTGCCGTTTGAGGGTAGCTTTCATGTCATCTATGTATGAATTGAACAAGGCTCACCTGTATTACTCTCCCGCTGAATACAATCGTAGTTTAAAACTCGTCTTGCTGCACATGCTGAAGGAAAACACGAAGGTAGACAGGAAGGAGTGCAGTTCTGCTGTTTTCTGTGCTTTCTCCTAAGCTCTTTCCTGTTTTCCACCTCGTGTCCTTCAGCTTGCGCAGCAAGTATGAGCCAACTAATCTTGAAAGAAGTATTGAATGGTAGTTTTCATAGTATCTCTGAGTTCCTACCACACGTTTCTCATACATTTTTTCTTGTGAACATGCAAACTTATTAGCTTGCAATCTTCTTGCTATATACGTATGGCACTCATTAAAAAAAAGAACACAAGGAAAATCAAATCAAACAAACATACGCTGGTGCTTAAATATCTTGCTTGATAGAAAAAATAAGGATGCAGGCTATTATGTCACTGATTGGTTACCTTGTCATTGGTGCTGCAGAACAAGCTACAAAAAAAATTTAGAGTTGTCGCTAGAGGAAAGACACACAGTAGTGAGGTCCATAATGGAACTGGGTACAAATATTAAGAATTTCAGCCCTCTCGAGTATCTTGTGTAAGCACTGCACCTGTTCAAAATCTATTATCTATTTTCTTGAAACTTATTTCGAGAAAATTTTAGGTATTTTTTTATACGTGAACATTTGTAGCTCTTGCTAATTTTCATTTTTTATTAAAACTTGCCACATTTCTTTATCACATTATTAGGCGTGCAGTGAACCGCAATGAGCAAAATTGTGCCAAAAGATTTAATATGGCTGCCTGTTATATAAAGGTGCCCCTCATGCTACCGCATATTTTTTTTGCTTATTTGATTATTATATTAATAATATTGAATAAATCTCATTTGTTTCGGTTCATTGCACAGACCAAAGTTTTTTACATGTGCCTGAAAGAATGAAAATTTTTAAACAACCAGAACTTGAGTCAGGAGTGTTCACGCAAGGCATACTTTTAATGAAATCTTTAATTATGACAAATTAATAAAATATATGACTTGATTTATAATGCTCACATAAGCCTAAAAAGATGTGCTTCATATTGCAGACATAATTTCTAGCAATTATTGCTTATTTTAGAAAGTTTTTCATCACTTGGCCTCATACCTTGAGCAGCAAGTAAAAATCCAACACATTTGATGATTATCTAGGGAGTCATAAATTCTAATGTCACTTCAGCATGGTAGCCAATACAGATAAAAGCTTTACTGCTATGGCTGACTCTGGAAAGCTAAGCTTTAAGTTGTTCACTGCCTTGTTCGTAGCACAAATTGAGTTTCTGGAGGCATCTCGGCTTTGAGTATCAATCACCAGTATATCTATGTAGCAGATAGTTCTGTGCCTTAGGCGAATGTGCCCCTGCAAACATCTCATAAGCAAGGCAGCTTTCCTTTTACGAAGCTGTTTTCAAGTAATGTTGTGTACCTGCTCACTGTAACCTTCAAAATTGCGCTTTGACATCAAAAGGAAGATCGTGGTGGGGGTCAGATAGGGAAAAAAAGGGGGTGGCATATGCCGCATATTGCATTTTTTTCCTCTTTTTTTTTTTTTTTCGAGAAATGCCAGTTAAATGTTGCTCTTTGGCCCTGGTTTCCACAGGTGGCCGTCTTGACTATCGTATAGATCTAGCAAGCACTCAGAATTCAGGTTAGAAATCAGCTTGACGCCACTAGACAGGATAGCAAGTGCAGACAGAACACACTCTACTTGCCTGACCGCTTGGATGCAACGCTGCCTGCGGAGCGGCACTGCTCCGTTGCTTTCCTATGTATGGCACCATGACAAGCTGAGTCAGTTATGTGAAACTCGTGAGTTGAAATTCTTTTGCTTCCGCAACGTTTTCACTTGGAGTGGTGTGAGTAATGCTGAAAACGCTAAGTGTACCAGTAGTAGAACAAGTAGAACTCACTGTAGGGCGAGTTGGTGCATGTCCGAATCAAACAGTCACTTTCACGCCAAAATCAGAACCACACAAATAAAGAAAACGCATAAACAGGATGGGCATCTAGTAGAAAGTGTACCAAGTTTAAGGATTGCCAACTTAAAATATCTCGTGCAGGGTGTGAATGTCCTGAATAGATTGTTCGGGCTGCACTCAAAGCCGGCTCAAGTTCAGCTCATGCACTCTAACACTTTAAACTGGTCATTTTGCTATGTGTGTAAAACAACACTGTCATTAGACGCTAAAATCACCACGACACTGGAATACAAAGAAGCAAATAGACAGAACAAGCGCTCATTTCAGATGGGATGCTCATTTTACTTATAGACAGTATGAAGCACCTGGCCTGTCTCTGTATTTTTTCGTATTAGTGCAGTTGGGATTTTGGCACAAACTTGACTAATGGCAGTGTTGTATCTTATACTTGTAGCAAGACTTGCACTTCGTGAAACTTGCTTAGATGAGTGAGGCTTCGTCATTTTATTATGCAGCTCTGTCAACAAGGACGTTATGATAAGCGGGCCCAGTTATCTCAGCAGCAACACGCATGCCGAGTCTTTTTACTAGCACGTGTGGCCATGCTGTTTTGAAGGTAGGCTTTTTTGTTTGCAGGAGCTTCGTCATCTTGTCTCGAGGAGGGCAGCAGCTGAAAGGACTTTGAAATGAGTGGAAAGTGTTCATACCGAACTGCAGCTGAAATATGGGAACAGCAGCATGAAAAAGAAGGTTTTCATGCTGCTGCTTCATACCAAACTGCAGCTGAAATATGGGAATAGCGCCCATCTGTCCCTGTGTAGTTTGCAATGCAGTCTGTCGCAGCAGTTACGGTGCTCTGCTGCTTACCTGAAAGTTCGACCTCAGGAGTGGAGGTCACATTTTCATGGAGGCTAGGATGTCAGTGCACATTAAGGAACTGTAGAAATTTCTGGTGCCCTCCGCCAGCACCGTCCCTCACAATCATATCGTGGCCCAGATATTGTCAGTGTACTCACTGGGGCAACAGAAGACAGAAAGTTTTTCAAGTGTTTAACTGATTTTGGTAACTCAGCTCATTCTTGATATGAAAAATTTGTGTGCCAATCGAATCGTGAGGCAGTAAACAGAGGTACTGAGGTCATTTGATGTATTCGGAATAGTTGTTCAAGGGGAAAAGCTTCACGTGTTGAATTTTCTAAAACAAATGCGGTCTCTATTGAAATACTGACGTTACTTTACGGGTCAGTACAGATGATGAAAGTTTTGCTTGTCACATGTGGAACAGTGAGTTGCTTTATTCTTGCTCATTCTAAAGAACCTTGTGGTTGCCTACATATTTCACAAGCTCTGATCTGACGTATTTTTCTTTTTGCTGTGCTCCCACATATTGTCTGCATTTTGCAGTTTTGTAAGCCATTTTGCTTTAACTGCAGGCTTTTCCTAATGATGTGGTGGAGGTCATTCAAGATTTTGAACTACATTCCAATCGACGACCAAAGGTCATCATGCAGACTGCTGGTCATGTGGCCGGTGCTGTGCACTATTACAGCTGTAGGGGCATGCAGTTTGACCAGGAGCTACCACCAAAAAAAGTGAGCTTATTATTATACGCAACCTTTTAAGACGAACGGTGATATGAGTTTGGTGACGTAATTGTCCTGCCATTTACTGGGATTCTAACCCAAACATTCTGCGTGGCAATCGAACATTTTACTACAGTGCCAAACTGGTGCTTAGAACTCCTTATCAAAAAGGTCTTACACGTGCATTATGTCGGCAAAGGAATCTCGTTAACTTATGTAATATGCTGTGGTAGCAGAGTAAAATAACAGCTAAGTGTTGCACGTTGAGAATCGTGTAATGAGTGGGTGGTTTAAAGCTTCTCACCCATTCCCACAGAAGGCTCAGCCGTAATTCTTCATTGTCAGCTACAGCATCAAAAAGAACTCATATAATGTCTTACAGATGTATAGTGGGCACTTTCCGACTTCATAAAAATTATGATTTATGTCAAAGTGGATATTGAAAGGGTTTGCAGCGCGAGCACGAAAGTGCTGAAGGAAAGGTGTTACAGCCAAAAATGGAACGTAGAGAGGGACAACTTTCCTTCAGCACTTCCGTGCTTGAGCTTCAAACCCCTTCAATGTGCACTCTAACCAGCAAGCCCAAATGCCTGTTCTTCCTTAAAGGCAAAGTGGGTACCTTATAAGTGTATTGTAGTTGTATCTTCCTCAAGATAATTTACAAGAGTCTGTAGAAAGGCCACTTTTCCAGGTTTCCCTGGGGCTATGCTGAGTGTTCTGATCGGGCCTACCATTTTTTTATAACACGGTTATAACACAATTTTAAAACATTGCCGGCATGATATAACACAATTGTACTTTAGCCAGATTACTCTCAGGAGTTCATATTATTTTCGTGTCGAAGTAAAATGAATATTTAACTAATAAATGAAGTACCATATTAGCTCGCGTAATGAATGCACTTCTTTTCTCCAAAAATTGGAGCCAAGTTGGGGGTGCATTTATTATGTGGGGCAAATTTCATGAATACTTTTTCGGTGCGAGCAAAAAAATGCGGTAATGCAAGAAAAAGTTTGGTCGCTTAGTCTTTCGCAATTCACATATGCATACACTGTTTGGAAACATCTTCTTCGTTGCACTTCATTCATCTGCCGTGGTTGATGGTGCTATCTTCGGCAAGCTGTCCCCACGCTGCCTGCGCACGGCATAAAAGCGCTTTATGCCTATTTTTTCTCGCAATCATTTAACAGGAACAGTGGTATCTGATGTGATCTCAAGGGGTGCTTAGAATAAGCGTGTGCTACGACGCACTTTGCCAAGTTCGTGGAAACTTTGCACGATAATCGTCACGACGCCGTTGACATTCTACCAAGTAACCAACATTACAGCAAGCTACCATCGAAGCATCAAAACAAACCATCGATCACAAGATTAACGACAAAATGCGGCTGCCGCCTTGCTGCCCACATGAGAAGTTACTGTAGAAAAGGTATAGCTTATATATAGCATTCTTTGAATTACACGCAGATAACAAGCACGAAGAGCGAATTGTAACCAAAGTAAGAATTGGGGGTGCTGCCATGTTGCGGAAATAGTCTGGATCTTTTTTGACGTCAAGCAATTTTTTTTCTGGTTTTACAAAAGCCTGCGACACAATGGCGACAGCGAATCCTGTCGTCGTCGCTCAAATATTACGTGCATGTGACTGGGCCTTAAAGTTTCATATTTGCGGGAAGCGACCATCGGGTGCCGCGGGCAATTTCGTGACCTTCGCTCGCTGTGTGCTTGTCAGTTGCGATGTCTCTACACTGCACTAGCACCGTTCGTGAACACTGCTGTGGCGCACAAATAACTAAAAAAAGACTGGGGATGTGCCGCACACAGGTAAAGAAAAAAAAAGAATATGGCGCGTCGCAGCAGGCGAACAGGGGGTTGGAGGAAGCCGAGGTGGCCGAAGGGGTCGGCATAATAAGAAACGGAAGAGATCTAACGGCAAGGATGGAAGTGCTGCGCCAATTGTGCCATTCTGCGCCAATAGAAGTTGCTGCGCCAGACTGCGCATAAACGGCAATTTCGGTGATAATTGTCTATTGGAAGTGTAAGCCTCAAATCTAGCCTATTATTATCGTCGACCGAGCAACACTGAGCGTTGGCTACACCCAGGACAGGACGCAGCTGCATTCATATCCATTGTTGTTCGATCGCGTTGTATCGAAGTGGTATAGCTGTTCTCTGGTTGTATTTCGGTTTGCTACTGCTCGTCTCATAGCAGTTATCGTCATGGTTTCCCCGCCATAGTGGTGGCACCAGCATGAGTAATTGTGAATTAGCTAGTAGTACAGTGAAACCTCACTAGTTTGTACCAGCCGGGAATACGGCTAAACGGCAGTGCGCGCTTACAAGCACAAATGTATATCTCCTGAAACAGGTACAGTTTCAGGGGATATACACAGCAGATGTTGCCAAAAGTACCTGCCAGGAAGTCTTTTCTTGGTTCTGCTAAAGTGCGAAAACTATACTAGGCTGGCACTCCTAGAACGATCGTGTTATAGCACGCAGTGCTCACGCCTAGGAGCATTTCGGCCCGTCCGGGATACATCATGACTGAAATAGCGATAGAACAGACACTATCAGCTTTCCGGGATACATATGTGCGCTTCTATACTGCGATACTAAGCGACAACTGACAGTTTCATTGAAACGCGAAGCGGTTGCGTGGACTTGGAAATTCTTCTGGTTAGTTGCGTGCAGAAGGGGGCCTAGGCTGCCCATGCCGTTGATGTCGGGCAGTTTGCACTACCGTGTGCACAGATTTGCTGAGTGATTTGCTCGTCCCCACTTTGCTCCAGACCGAGTACAGGTGAGCAGAGTAGTGTGTTTATAACTAGCGTGGGGATAATAAACTTCCTCCAAGCAATGTTCGCTGCGATTACCTATACTCCGTTTCACACATTAGTTGTGAAGGGTTTGACGCGAGTAGGTTGTTGCTCCGGGACGTCCGAGCACGCTAGTCTATATTTATTTTACCTTTCTCTTTCCCTTTATGCCAGATAAACAATAAAGTTGTTTCACTCACTCACTTCTTTTTGTTTCAATCCGAGTATTAAATGAACATGTTTTGTATGACAGACACCCACCCACGCATATTTGTGGTAAGCTCGCTAGTACTGAATGTTTAGCGCAAACCATTGCATTTTTTTTTTCACCAGAAATAACTTTGATGGACGATGATGTCTGACCCAAGAAAGCTGCTCTTGAACTAATTCGCGTTGCTTTTTGGTGCTCCGAACTTGCTCCAAAATTACCCTTTTACTGTGCGAAACCTGCTCCAAAACAGCATTATTCCTGCTCTCTGAGCTGCTCCAAAACACTCAAGTCCACTTCCACCTCTGTAATGGGCTAGGAGGTGCCAGGTGTCGGTTAGCTGGGCTGCAGCGGATGAATGCTGGGGGTGCATTCACTATTAGGGGGGGAAAAAATGCAAATTTTGACGACTGAAGATGCGGGGGGGGGGGGGGGGGGGGGGCATTTATTATGCGAGTGCATTCATTACGTGAGTAAATACAGTATTAATTACTAATTGGTTTAGGGCGTGTGTGGTAATGTATGCCGCTGCACTAGTTGACTCTCAGGCGACTGATGCGATTCAAATTTGGTCAGGAGGACCTACACACACCCAGCAATCGAATGAAGGGCACATCTCGATTCTGAAGTTTCATGTCAGTTCTCCTTTAAGACAATGAATAGCCTTTGTAATTCCTGCAGCACTTATAATGAGTTCCGACATCAGCGATGTTCAAGAAATGGAATCGGGGTGCATACAGGTTGTTGAAAACCTTAAAACCCCTTGAATTTGAAAAATGCATTTTAAGGCCCTTGAAAGTCCTGGAATTTTTTTCATCCTTGAAAATCCTTGAATTTCCTGAGCACTCCCTATCGACATTGCGACCTCCTTCATGTGGTGGAACAGCATACCTGGCAAGTCTCCAGGATTTTGAACAGTTCTTACGTTTGTACACTTGTCAGGAAAATCATGCGGAAGTTTAAATTTCTGTATATGTGATCTGGCCGCACTGACAAAAATGCAGCCCAATCCAATCCAGGTTTATTGTGACTGAATTTATTGTAAATGAACTTACCAGGTTATTGTAGACGAATTTAAGAGGTGTCCATTTAAATCTACATTTAGCCAAAATTCGGATATTCCGAGCTCTTTTCGCTATCATGGCAAATGGTGTGGTCCTTGCGGTGCCACTGCACATGCTTTGTAATGCGAGCCGCCTCTGGCCGCATTGAAAAAAATGCAGCCCAATCCAATCCAGGTTTTTTTGTGAACCCACCACATTTTATTTTAAACGAATTTAAGAGGTGTTCATCTAAATGTACATTTAGCCAAAATTCAGATGTTTCAAGCTCTTTTCGCTATCGCGGCATGTGGTGTGGTCCTTGCGGTGCCACTGCATATGCTTTGTAACGCGAGACGCCGTTCGTGCCTGCGGTCCGCCCGCAGAAAATACGAAATGCAGCCCGTTGGTGAGCGAGCGAGCTGCAAGCATGTGGCAGTGTTTCCGGGGGCAAACTCTGGTCTAAAACATATTTGGCGCCCATACACTTACGCAATGCCTGCCAACTCCAATAGGGAGCTTTAGAATAGCGTTAGCAGACGTTGTGGGCGCCATATGAGTATTAAAATAGCGTTTGCCCTCGCCGCAGCTACACCATAGTCTCGAAACCAGCGCTTTGTGGGCTGCATGCTATTTCTGATTTCCTGCAGGCGGGCCGCAAGCGTTAGTGGAGGCTCGCGTTACGACCATGCACAGTGGCAGCGACCACTCCGGTGCGCTGCTTGTGGCGCCCTATTTTAAAACTCTCTAAAAATGGAAAGAACGCTAAAAGTGTTCTGGCGTTCTTGTCCAAAAGAATTTAGAAACGTTCCTGTCGATGTGGGTACCTTGGCTATACTTTGGCATTAAGTTTTCAGCTGGCCTTAACAAAGGCTTCGACCCGCACTTTCCGGCAGGTGGCTCCGCCATCCCGTTTGTTCACGTGTTTCCCCAGGAAGACATATG